TTGTGTGCTTCTCCAAATGAGCTTCAGCTCCTTATATAGCCCTTAGAGTTCTTAACCGTTGCTGATAGACCGCGCACGTTACACAGAGATCCAGCGTCCGTTATAACGTTTCCATAACTCCCACAACTGTTACAAACTTGTGTAAAACGTGCAAAAAATAAAACTTGAGAGGCAAAAACGGGTGCGATGCGACGTGGCGCGTGCATCGTGGCGAGCGCGCACGCGCGTGTGGACCAACAGTCCAAACAATACTATGCCCAAAACACTAACTCAAAGCCCATTGAGATGTGAACCATTATAAACTTCTTGAACTTCTTCTCATTTTCCGATGTGGGACTATTCACAATGGCAAAATTGCCTTTTTATGAAACCAAATGTCCAACAATATATATAGATCTATTGTCATTTCAGAAATAAAACTACCTATTTGAAAAATGTTATAATAAAAAATGCCGCTTTTAATAAGAAAAAAAACTTAATTCTTGACTGTAAAAAAAAATTCAGTTCAAAATTTTGGGTACAATAGTAATTTTTATCTTTTAAGATGAAAATGATCAATATATGAGGGCTTGTTTTCTTATATTGATCCTTCAATCTCCTAAGTTAATACCTATCTCTCTCAACCCATTAAACAGCCAAGCCAACTTTCTCAATTTAATTTTCTCACTTTCTTCATTCCCTTCACTTGTTTTCCTCTCCTCTCTCTCAAGTTTGGTGTTTAAATTTATTTAATTCTGTTGTTTAATCGTTTCTTTACATCGATTTCTAGTTGCAAACATATCAAGTTCATACACAAAGTTTTTAAACAAGAGAGGTTCTAATAAGAAACGTTTAACTCCTAAGCTAAGAGTGGAGACTCATGAATGTGGAAACAGATCTTAAGAATTAGGGACAAGGCTTTGTTCTCCAATGGAGGGGTTGAAAATCTGATGCAATTGATTAGCTCCTGTGTTAATAACTCAAAAATTCAGATGTCAGTTCTCTACCATACTCTCTCCCCTGCAGCAAACTCTATGCCTGTATCATGGTATAACACAATCTGGGAAGGAATCAGTTACCCAAAGCATTCTTTTTTGAGCTGGCTAGCTGTGCAAAATAGGCTACAAACTCAAGATAGGCTTCTCAAAAGAGGGATAATAACCAGTAACACCTGCTGTTTATGTGCAAGAACTGAGGAGAATAGAGATCATTTGCTCTTTGATTGTCATTACTCAAGTGAAGTCTGGTGGCTTGTGATGGACTGGCTAAAATTTTCATGGAGATCTTGTGTATGGAATCATATTATGGACTGGTATTGCTACAAGTTGAGAGGTAAGGGTGACAAGCAAAAAATAAAACGGATGGCTCTCTCCTCAACACTATATTGCATATGGATTGAGAGAAATAACAGAATCTTCAAGAACAAATTCAGGAATGCAAATCAGGTGTTCGGGGAAATAAAGATCAGTATGCTATACATCATCCTCAATAGTGCAAGTCTACTTGACAGCAAAGATTGGATACTGTCACTATAGATGTAAATAATTAGAATACGAAGTTGTAATCTCATATTATGAGTATCTTGATGTACATTCTTTTCATATTTAGTGAATGAATAAAGTCTTTTTCATTGACCAAAAAAAAGAAACGTTTAACTATGTTAAAGTTTATTAGCAGATAAAAACAAGAAATTTTAGTATGGTAGACTTATTTTATACAACTTACGAGATTTGGAGGACATGTTAAAATATATGCGCTGGGGACTTACAATATATCAAAATTTAATTAGAGAAAACTGATAGATGAAATGGATGGCATGCATTCCAAGCTTTGAGGATCTACAAAGAACTATCTCTGGATAAAAGTAACTACTTTACACATAGAACTGTGGTAGTACACAAGACTAATAGAACTTTAATTCTTTAAAATATAATGTAGCTCGGAATGGAATCCAAAATCATGAGAGTAATATTAAAACAACCTAACTGTTTGAATCACTCAGGGTGAGTCTAGAGTGTAGGCTGTCTAAAAATCACAATGGATAGCTGATCCTCATCAAGCCCCGACAATGAAAGTTACAATCAGACGACTTTCTAATCATTGTATCTGCAACTCTACAGTCGCTACAAATACGGTCTCATATTTGAGATGATTGATCTTGATGGCTGCGACAACAACATGACTAATATTATATTAGCAACTATTAGAGATGCTGATGAGCAGTGCGATGATTTCAGAAATAAAAGGTTAGACTTAGTTGGTGAGTTGCTTGGTAGAGAGCTGTGGACAAATATTCGTTTAAATATCACAATGAATAATTGATCCCCATCAAGTTCCAACAATGAAAGCTACAATCAGATAGCTTTCATGCCAACAAACGAAAGCTGCAAACGGAGGACTTTTCATGTAGATCGAGAAGAGTTACAATTCAACGTCGACACTTCCGACAACTGATGGAAACTCTATTCAGCAGTTTTCACAGTCTACAGTGAAAGTTACAATCTGACGACTTTCACACTCCACAACAGCTAAAGCTAGGATTACTGAACAACCGT